GAGACGATTGGCCGGACTGCCGCTGCTCCCTCGGCCCGCGCGGTTGTGTTCCTTGCTGTTGCTGTTGTTGCTGCTGCTGCTGCTGCTGCTGCTGACGCTGGCGTTGCTGCTGCTGCTGCTGCTGCTGCTGTTGCTGCTGCTGCTGACGCGGGTGTTGCGGCTGCGGCTGCGGCTGCGGCTGCGGCTGCGGCGGCTGCGCCCTTTCATTGGTAGCTCTGCCGACCTGACCAAGTGGGGGGAGGTCAACCTCGACGCCCTCCATGTTGCAGCGTCTGAGAAGATTCGCAAACATCGCGCTGCATATGCTATGACTACTCCTCCTCGAGCGTTCATCCCTCTTGCCATCTCGACGGACGGTACCCTGCATCCTGACACCCTCCGCTTCATCTGGTATCTTGCGGACATCATTGCTCAGCGCTCGATGCCTCTTGAGGATGCGGCGTTTGGTCGGCACTTCGTGCCTGATGACGGACCTGCTGCTGAGGTCTTGGCTCGCAAATGCGCCGCCACCTATCAGCGCCTCACCATGCAGCTGACGCTGGAAGCGCTCTTGTCTGGTGCGAGGCGCATGACGCCCTTGCGGGCGAAAGCACTCCTCGAGCCAGAGGACAGCTCCTCCTCGGACTTTGTCGAGTCGCCCGAGGAGTCTTCGCCGGAGGTCTCCGACTCCGATGGGGGAAACCCTTCGAGTGGCCCCGACGATGGGCGCGGAGCTGGCGACTCGGAGGCGTCTCCGTCCCTCACTGTGACGTCGGGTGCCTCCGGAGAGCTCGACACCACTGGGGTGCTTGCTGCTGGTCCGAGCTCGCCTGCTTCCTCCCCGGCATCGGTCGGGTCACGCCGGTCCTTGGGCATTGCCCGCGGCGGCGTCGCCGCCGTCACGGGCGGCTACCACTGACTCGGCTACCGCTGACTCGGAGGCTAGCGAGGAGGACTACCTCGAGCGGTACCGTGTTCATGTGTCCAGCCTCCCTCCGTCCGCTGCCCCAGGCGGACCCCCGGGCAACGCCGGCTCCTCATCGCATAGGATTTACTGGCAGAAGGTAAAAAGTACTTCTGCAAGTAAATCCTATGCGATGCCTCAAGCAAAACAAAGCAGGAACAAGCTGAACCGGCAGGCACACAGTCCACAGCGAGAAGCTGCACAATCACACACAAAACACAAGCCCGAAAAGAACCAGCACTGCTGGCACCCAGACGCGGCATCGCCAGCCCAAGCGCGAAGCCGCGCAGACAAGCAGCCTAAGGGTCAGGCAATCAAGCAACAAGCAGCTCCTTGTCGGCGGCTGCCCTTTCTCCGTCCGCGGCCGCCCGCTTTGTGGCGGGAGCGGAGTGGGGTGGAGTGGGGTGCTTGCTGCTGGTCCGAGCTCGCCTGCTTCCTCCCCGGCATCGGTCGGGTCACGCCGGTCCTTGGGCATTGCCGCGGCGTCGCCGCCGTCACGGGCGGCTACCGCTGACTCGGCTACCGCTGACTCGGAGGCTAGCGAGGAGGACAAGGGATAGGATTTACGCGGACTACCTCGAGCGGTATCGTGTTCATGTGTCCAGCCTCCCTCCGTCCGCTGCCCCAGGCGGACCCCCGGGCAACGCCGGCTCCTTGTCGGCGGCTGCCCTTTCTCCGTCCGCGGCCGCCCGCTTTGTGGCGGGAGCGGACGTCTCGACTGACAGTGGTCAGTCGGCTGCCTCCGGGTATCGCGTGTAAGGGATTTTCTTCCTCCTGCATGCTCCTGCTGCTTGTTGCTTGATTGCTTGACCCTTAGGCTGCTTGTCTGCGCGGCTTCGCGCTTGGGCTGGCGATGCCGCGTCTGGGTGCCAGCAGTGCTGGTTCTTTTCGGGCTTGTGTTTTGTGTGTGCCAT